AGAGAAGACACAAAGAAAAAAGGATAGCACACAACATCAGAGTCACCATACTTTCGGCATAGACCGAAATGGAGATGATGATTGTTGCCTGTTTAATTTTGCTCTCACTGTAAATTGGATAAATTTTATACATATATGAAGACTAAGTGAAAATTAAAATAGGTTAGTTGATTTCGAGTTTCAACTATCATATAGCATAAACCATTTAAAACGAACTTAAAGTTTATGTACTATCTCATCATGACGAGTTCACCAATATTTTTCTATTATTTCATCTTGTGTTTTTACCATTTACTAGAGTGCATCTACTTCAATTTCCTAATAACACAAGCAAATATATATGATAAAAAGAATGTTGTGTAAACAAATATACACCGGAACAATGGAAGAACACTACAAATGGAGGCAAAGGGAAGAAGAAAAAATAGTTTGGATGAGGCCAATGGAAGAACACTGCAAAAGGAGCAATGGGAAGAAGAAAAAAATAGATCTTGATGAGGCCACCATAAAGAGTTGGCAAGTAATAAAGAAGATGTTTCATCTGGTTATGAGAAGTGATCACTACCAGAATTTGGTGCATTAGTAACGAAATTTTACAACGGATTAGTATTGGTGTCATATTACGGTATTAGTAACATATTATTGGTCAAACATTGTTGGTCAAAGGATTACGAAATCTTGCAACGGATTAGTATTTGTGGTTTGCATAGTATGTTAGCTAAAAGAAAGTCTTAGCGTGTAATCCTATTTGTACATGTGGTCAATTTTACATGTTGGTCAAACATTGTCCAGTAAAAGAGTTTAGAGGGACAGTGAAATGTTCTATTGAAAGTTTGTTTTATTAATTTTGGCTTCCGTAATTTATATGAACTTATATTACGATCATTTTACCTGCAACTACAATCATCCCTCGAAATTTCAAAAACCAATTCAATCCTAAAACCTTTTCACGTTAATCAATTAAGAATCCACAACTAAAAGTGGAAGTATACTTGAATATATAATTTGAGAATTATTAAGTTGTTTGTTCCTCATTTTTTGGTATGATCTTTCGAATGATCGACCTTAACACATAACTAGTATGAGTCCCACGGGTAAGAAATATTCATTAATATTTATAAATTAATAATTCTTATTAAGTAATATTTATAAATTAAAAATATGAAATCAATATGTAATACAATTACCTATACTAATTTATTGAAAATGTTATATAAAGTTTAAATTGTATAAAATTACATAAAAGTGTCTATTTAAAATCAATACATGACCCGTGTGGTGCACATACCTGATAATAAATTACATTATATTCGTTTCAAAATAAGTATCATTTCAAAATTTTTATTCAGAAATTCGATTTAACGATAATGTGATTCCATAAAATAGTTATTTTGTTTCATTACTTAAAATATTATTTTTTTTGTATAAACTATTCAAATAAAAAAAATTAAGTAGTTGAGTAATTTATTAAACTATAAATAACTGACTATTTCGTTTACGTCCAAGTTAATATTGACCTGTAAGTTATGCATATTATTTTTTTATTTTAAATTTTAAATAAATTTTTTATATTTTTTAATATTTTATATACGAAATTTAAACCATGCAACTAATAAAGGTAGTACCTGCAAGTTTTGTCAATATATTATATTCCAAATTTAGATCATGCAACTAATGAAGGTAATAGCCGCAATATTTGACCAAAATTATTCTGTACATTAATTTAGGCGGAATTTTTAAAATTTTTGCCAAAAATATTACTCAATATAGTAAATATTTTAGGAGGGAAACTAAATGTTTTTTTTTTTGTTGAGTTTTAGTTGTTATTTCAAATAAATATCATTGACTTTATATATTCATAGATATTTTTATTCTGTAACTATAATTTGTATATCTTCTGTAACTGGTGCTACTTTAGGAAAAATGTATATATTCTGAAATCTACTTGCATCTTTCTATCATTTGGATCTATTAGTAAGTAATTAAAACTTTTTTTTATTCATCAACAAACAAAAAATCTCATAATAATATACTACAATTTTTTTATTAAATGTCATTTTGGTTCTATAAAAAATTAACCAAATAAATGACGTTTTGTATCTTTCGTACATATTTTTTCATTATTACTCTCATCTACCTATTAAATACACTACATATTTTCATATTCACTCTTCATCTTTTCTCAAAACATCTATCTCTATTCTCATTAATGAAAGTTATTATTGAAAAAAATAAAATTCTTAATTACTGTGTAACTTCTCTAAACGACACTTATTAAAAAATGGAGGGAGTATATATTATTGAGCCCATGAAAAATTCGATATTCTCTTCAAAATTAAAAATTTAGCAGGTTACTTTAATTATAATATATAATTTTTATATTAATTATACATATTTAACTTATATATATTGTTTTACCATATAATAATATAATAAGTATGTTTTAAGGTGGAACCATTTGGGAGAGAGAAAAGTTTGATCGAAATGATATTGTCATTTTCCTTTCATTATTTTCTTTTTTAAAGAAAATAAATGTAGATCACAAGATATTTAATATGCAACTGTGTAATTGAATTTTTGAAGTGTAGTGAACGTGTCGCGGCAAGCAATCATGCTTAAGGCCACGTTTGGCAACGCGATTGATTCTAGGCTTTAGCTGTGGTGGGGGCTGGCAAGAAACAATGTCGGCGCATGGAAATTTCCAACTACCAACGGATAACGGCTGTCCCACCTCTTTCAAGCTTCGACAACCACTTATCTATTACTGTCGGCAAGAAAAATTGTTTGTGGTCGGGGTACAAAAATATTTTAACGATCAAGTAAAATTTTTTAATTGATGAAATAATATAATGAAAGAATTAAATAATTGTTTTGATATAAAAGACGATAATTACTAGCAATATAATATAAAATGTAGGAAATAGTGGTTGATAGTTATAACTATGAGTAGATGATTAATAAATTTTATAGAGCATTAATTAAATTTTTAATTTAAAAAGTGTATAGAAAAATGTAAAACGATTAATTGTAACAGATAAATATATATGGAAGATATTCCCATAGCTATCTTTAGTATATTTGATTTGATTTGATATGATTTTATCTCTATTTGATTTTCTCTTTTGTAATCTCTATATATTCTATGTAAACTCTTTCTACGAATATACAGAAAACTTTCTTTCTTCCATTATCATGTTCTCTCTTATGATTTTAGCATGGTACCAGAGCAGTAAATTTCGCCGTCGACATCATACCTAATTTTTTTTTTCTTTTCTCCACCATCATCATATTCTTTTTTTTCATCATGTCATCCGGCACCGGATCTCATTCAAATTATAAAACTATCTCACCATACGATATCACGTCGAGTGATAATCCCAGATGTTTGATTTCTACGGTCCTCCTCAAAGGGCAAAATTATATTGAATGGTCCTCTTCACTCCGGACGGCTCTTCGGGCACGCAAAAAGTTTGGTTTTCTTGATGATTCTATTCTCACACCTGCGGACGACTCTCCGATCCTCGAAGATTGGTTCGTCAATAACTCGATGTTGGTCTCATGGATAAAGAACACGATCGATCCGACACTTCGACCCTCCATTCTCAAATAGAACTCGCCAAAGAACTATGGGATCATCTTCGTCGTCGTTTCTCCGTTGTTAGCGGCACTCGAATTCAGCAATTGAAAGGCGAATTAGCTTCTACACTACAAAAAGGTATGACTGTTAGTGCGTACTATGGCAAGCTGCGCACGTTATTCGATGAATTAAACTCGTATTAACCACCAATTGCTTGTACCTGTGGACATGCTCGTGAATTCGAGGCCCGTCGAGACGCAGAAGAAACTCACCAATTTTTATTGGGCCTGGATAAGGAGGTATATGGGTCGGCTCGCTCTGGTCTTTTGGCCAAAGATCCCTTACCTTCTTTGGAATGGGTCTATTCCGTCATCTCACAGGAGGAACGACTTTCCTCTCCATCTGCTCCGACAACCGACGTGATGAGCTTCGCTACCACTGCAGCATGCCAATCGTCTTCCCAATCTTCTCGCCAGTGCAATGTCTGTGGTCGATCTGGACACGATGCCACAGTTTGTTATCAAGTAAAAATCTGCCCCCACTGCAATCGAACGGGTCACGATCCGCGTCGTTGCTATGAAGTTGTCGGCTACCCTGCCGGTTGTTCCGGCAAGTCTTCAACGGCTCCTTCTACGGGCGCGTCTCCGGCGGGACTAGGTCAATCGAACGGCGCCTCTTCATCTTCTGCTGAAAATGACCGACGACTTGTTCCTTCAATTTCTGCCAAAGCCCACGCTGCCAATATTATTGGGAGAAATTCTATTGGGCCTGGTCATGTTGGGCCAGGCCTTGCTGATTCTCCTATTCCATTTGGCTCTTATGGGGCTAATTCTGTCCCGACATCTACAGGTTTGAGTCCGGATCAATGGCAGGCGCTAGTTAATCTCGTGCGCCCATAATTCTGATACTACCACTTTTAATCATTTAACTGGTAAGGATTATTCTCGTAGTTGGATGTATGATTGTGGTGCTACACATCATATGACTGGATTTTTTCAGTATCTCGTTGATATTTGTGATATTTCTCCACGACCAGTGCAACTTCCTGATGGACATTGACTGTTGCGACTAAAGCCGGCAAAGTTCGCCTTAGTCAAAATTTGATTTTGATTAATGTCCTATTTGTTCCTAGTCTTAAATGCAGTCTCATTTCATTATATCATTTGTTAGACGATCATGGGTGTACAGCCCAGTTC